TGCGCCGCGCCGGGGAGGTCTTTGCCGAGCCAGGCCATGGGGGGCAAGTACTCAGGGTTTCAGGAAGGGACATCCGAGCCATGGCTTCGGAGATCTTCGAGTTTTTTGCCAGGAACCGTAGATTCACCAGACTGCACCATACCCCAAATATGTTGGAACTTGAGAAGAATGAGCGAAACAGAAGCCCTAACTCAGGCGCGGAAGGCGATGCCCAAGCAGGGGATCCAAGTCTGCAACCAGGCAAACCCAGGGGACGTCAACTGAACTGGGAGCGGTTTGGAAGATGTTCAAAGGGAAACCAACGCAAGCTGCTGCCAGTTTTGGGCCCTTAGCAACAGCCCTGTGGCATGTGCTTCAGGCGAACCTAGTTGGGCTCACGGCTGACTGAGGCGAGTTTCACCCGACAAAAAACATATCTTTGCTGTGTCGAGGACCAAGTGCTTCACGTTCTCTCGCTCCCCGCCCTGTAACCCCATTTGGTGGAAGCTTGGTGCGCGCTAAGGGCTACATGCTTACCTGGGAATCAATTCCAAACCACGGATTCGGAGGATCCACTTCCCGGCTCAAAGCCTCTTACTTGGTTTTTGCGCAAATACCTTCCCCGTGCTTGGGAGTCAAATCCATGCGGGAAAACCTGACCCGAGGGATTCCCTTTCCGAGCGGTGCATCCCAAAGCTGCCAGGCCGCGCCTTCCGCGTGCTGCCCCGGTTTTCCGCGTCCGCGCGGCTGCCCGCGGATGTGCCCAGAACTGCTCGCCCGGAGCAGCTGGCGCTCAGGCGGGGTGACCGGGATTCAGCCATTGCTTTGACTCATGTTGCTCGTCAGCGCCGTGTTTTTGCTAGACTGGTCCCATGTTGTTTCAGCGAGACGTACAACCCCTAGCCCTTCAAGGGGCGAACAATTCAGCCATTCTTGCATTCAACCTCGTTTTTGTTTCCAGACTGGTCCATGTTGTTTGTGTCAAGGGTCTCCTCAGTTTTTTCCGGACCCCCCCTTTATTCTTGTTTGACCCCTCCTCCTTTTTCCACCCCCCCCTCGCGCACCCGCCCCCCCGCCCCCCGCCCGCCCCCCCCCCGAAGAAGCATCGCAGGCACGTGGCTCGCCAGCTCCTGGCGAGATGCCCTCCCCAGCGCCCGGCCTTCGCGCAGTTCCGAGGCCGGCCGCACACACCGGGCTGGCAGCCCATGGGCCGTGGCCCGAAAAAGGAAACCAACAAAAAAAAATGGGAAAAAAACGAGATGGGCGGCATGCTTTGGTTCAACACCAGCATGTTTTCGTTCAAGACCAATATTAATCGACGCCTCTTGATGACGAGTTGCTTCAGGCCCCACTTCTGTGCTACAGACATGATGTTCATGGTTGCGAAGCTGGATTTGCACTTCACGACCCTTTTTATGATCATTGAATAGGGTGACCCCTCCGCAAACCACGAGAAGAGAAGGTGTCCGACCCTGCTCCATAGCGGACCCTCCCTTGTTTTTAGCTTTCTTTGACGGGCGCTTTGCGTCCCATCCATTCCCTTCGACCAGAGAGAAGCAAATTCAATGGCCACAGCCACCGCCCCTAGCCGTGGTCTCATTTGCATTTGGCCTCATCAGGCCTCAATGCGTTTTGAGATGTTTTGAGGCTCCAACTGTTTGCCATGGATACTTGGCTTTGCCTGCAGAAGTTGCTGGCAACCTCTCAGCTCCACCGCTGAGGATGGATCCGACTTTGCGCTGGCCAGTGCTCGCACATGGCACTGCTGGCCACACTGCGCATCATGTCCAACCTCTTCCCGCAAGCGCCTCTTCACTTTCACTGTTCTTGGCCTGTGTGTGTGTATGTGCTGTTGTTCGTTTACTACTTTGATAGTTTGAAAACATTGTAGACACCAGCATGTGCAAGGGTCCGAGGATGTTGTGCAAGTGAGTTGAGTTGTTGTTTGTTCTTAGAAAATCTAATTCTCCGTATTTGTGAGAATTGTGCTTGATCTTCGCCTGGGCTGAGTTGAAGCGAGTCTCAGAGTCTGATGAAATCTTCCGGCAAGAATCGCGCGACATGTTGAATGGAACCTTTTCGTCAGAACTTGTGTAGGTCCTGAACATTTTGATCCACACTCAAGGCGTAAGAAACAGTTCCAACGGCTTGGTTCATTATTCCGCCTTTTGTTTTTTCTTTACATTTGGGTTGGACGTCGGGTTCAATGACCGCCGATCCCTGATCAAGTGCCTGTTCTCAGGTAGGAACATCTGGTGAAGGTTCCTTTCCAGAACACAGCTGCTTAAGTCGTGCATCAGGGGAACCTCATCAGCCAGGTGTCAATCAATTTCCCAAAAGTTCATGAACCTCAAAACGAAACAGCTGATTGAAGAGAAAGAATCCAACACTTCAAAGCTGTGTGTTGATGTGTTTGTGTTTGTGTGTGTTTGTATGTTTGTGTGTGTGTGTGTTTGTGTGTGTGTGGTTGATGGAGTATACCTTAAAATTGGTTTTAGACGAGGGGGAACCCACGTGAGGTACTGGCAATACTCTCGGGTTTGCGGGATGTAAGAGTCGCGCACATTGTGTTGGACAATCACGAAGCCCGGTAAAACGATAAGGTGCAAACAAAAACGATAAGGTTTTTGGGTGTTTCCGTGTTGTTTGTGCTGGAAAACGAGAAGGTTTGGAGCATGGAATGCACGTATTGCTAGGATTTTGCTCAATCTTGTTTGCTCCCTTTCCGTCCTTCCTGTTCACAACCATGGCTTGGAGCATTGAGACCCGGGAGAGGCTTCCGAGTCACGACGCTGAAAACGATAACAAAACGATAACAAACACGATAACGCTTTTTGACAGAACCCATGCCCGTGAGGAGTTGCCCATTGAGAGGAACTTAGCCACTCTACCCTAGCTTTCCCTTTGATGTCTCCCGGCCATGGACAGCACACTTGTCTTTTACGTTGGAATATGTCTTGGACTCTACGTTGGAACACATTATTGCAGTTGATGCGCGCAGGCTAGCCAAACAAATTGAAGCAAGCAAGCGCAAACGAAAAGCATGGAAGGAGCTTGCTGCTCGTGAGTCCGACGAAGAAAGCCCTTGAAGCCACCATGAGAGCTGATGCGCGCAGTTGTCCAAAAATACGCGAACCCCGGTAAAACGATAAGGTGCAAAGCAAAACGATAAGGTTAATGATGTTGAACATACATCTGATGTGTAAAACGATAAACTTGACGCAAAACCGATAAGAAAACACATGTGCAGCTCATTTCAATTGAGGTTTTGCCGCGGCCTCACGTGTCGGCAATACATTTCTTAGAGTGTGATTTCAGCTAGCTGGCAGCCTCATGGAACCTCAAGGCTACTTTTTGTGACACCAAGGAAATCCCCTTAATAGTGATAAAGTTGTCATGACCCACGTTGGCAGAAATTGTGACTGCTCCCCTTTTGAAAGGACCTTGGCCACCAAGGGATTTTGCCCATGTTTTTCACATTTGTTAATTCCCTGACATCTGTTGAAGCTCATTTTGCCCGCGTCTCGCAGCTGCTTCCGGCTCGGTTGTACCGGTTGTCCCTGCACGGCGCCGGTGAGCTTGGCCGGGCTTATTGCCGAGATTTGCCGGGATATTAGATCTTGGTGGCTTATATGAGCTTCATCGCGTAGCATGCTCCCTTCTAAAGCCAGCTGCGCAAAAAGGTGTCTCTCGGCGACGCAGGTGACGACGACGCCCTCTCGAAGAGGCGAGCTGCGGAGCATGAGCTCTTGCGGGGCTTCGTCGTGGATAAGGCTCCGCCCGGCGCAAGCCTGGGCCCAGCTAGCGTTGCGCAGACGGATGGAAGCCTCACAGCGCAGGCGCGTATAGACACGTTACACCTTGCTGCACGCTGCTCACCCTGTGTTCGGCCCACTGGAATCCTATTAACTCTGCGACGTCACGAGGCAGATGCTGCGCCCGTTGAGTCAGCCCAGCTTGCACATGGCTTCAACTTCTCACCATAGAGTATAACTTAGCCATTGATTGGGTCTGATATGGCCTGATTGGGTGGCTGGCAAAAAGCACACCGAGGCCTTTTTGGAAATGTATTTCGGGGGGACAGTTTGTGTGGCCTACCCCATTGTGTTTGTTTCTCTGTGTGTGTGTATCAGAGTTTCTCTCTGTGTGTGTAAGCGTGTGTGTGTGGTGTGTTGTGTTGTGTTGTGTTGTGTTGTGTTGTGTTGTGTTGTGTTGTGTTGTGTTGTGTTGTGTTGTGTTGTGTTGTGTTGTGTTGTGTTGTGTTGTGTTGTGTTGTGTTGTGTTGTGTTGTGTTGTGTTGTGTTGTGTTGTGTTGTGTTGTGTTGTGTTGTGTTGTGTTGTGTTGTGTTGTGTTGTGTTGTGTTGTGTTGTGGTGTGTGTGTGTGCGCTTGTGTGCTTGTGTGGTTTGTGTGGCTTGTGTAAATGTGTGGTTTGTGTGGTTTGTGTAAATGTGTATACTGTAAATGTGTGGTTTGTGTGGTTTGTGTGGTTTGTGTGGTTTGCGTGGTTTGTGTGGTTTGTGTGGTTTGTGTAAATGTGTGGTTTCTGTAAATGTGTGGTTCGTGTAAATGTGTGGTTTGTGTGGTTTGTGTGGTTTGTGTGGTTTGTTTGGTTTGTTTGGTTTGTTTCGTTTGTTTGGTGTGTTTGGCTTGTTTGGCTTGTTTGGTTTGTTTGGTTTGTTTGGTTTGTTTGGTTTGTTTGGTTTGTTTGGTTGGTTTGGTTGGTTTGGTTCATTTGGTTTGTTTGGTTTGTTTGGTGTGTTTGGTTTGTTTGGTTTGCTTGGTTTGTTTGGTCTGTTTGGTTTGTTTGGTTTGTTTGTTTGGTTTGTGTGGTTGGTGTGGTTGGTGTGGTTTGTGTGGTTTGTGTGTTTGTGTGTTTGTGTGGTTTGTTTGTTTGTTTCTTTGTTTCTTTGTTTCTTTGTTTGTTTGTTTCTTTGTTTCTTCGTTTCTTTGTTTCTTTGTTTCTTTGTTTCTTTGTTTGTTTGTGTGTTTGTGTGTTTGTTTGCGTGCCAAGGGGCGCGGGAAGGAGGGAGGGTTCCCATTGTTTTCTTGGGGCGTGCCTGTCCGCGAGGTGAGAATGGAGGTGTGGATCCAGTCGGAGGAGCAGCGGGGGTCCAGCACCGGAGCCTAAACTCAGCTGAGCCGGACAATGTTTGGGACAGAGCAGAAGTGTGACCATTTAAGGGCTCACCAACTTAGATGGCACAATGGTTGGGTGGGGCCAACATAGTCACCTCTGGGTTTTGCCAAACTACGGACGAATTGCCTGGCCCAAAAGGGCATCTTTGCGCCGGCGCACTGGGCCACGGAAAGCCACAGGAAGCCACAGGGGTTCGGGCTCGGGTGGGATTCTAAAAGGTTGGCCTCTGGTTTCCCACGCCAATCCTTGACACAGCGTTCGACCTGGGGGGGAGTGTCTTCTGAGTGACGCCTTTCTTTGCTAAAGCTAGGTGCTTCTTGTTGTTGGCATTCTTTCGATACTGCTGAAATTTGTTTGAGAAAGTGATCTCTGGAATGAATCATGTGACCAAAGGCAAGCAATCACGTCACTCCCTATCCGATTCATGGCTGTCTATTGATGGACCAGTTGTGGGTCATTGGCACTGGCCTTTTCATCGTGTATGTGGTCGGATATGACTTATTAGCCCCATGTTGTCGGGGGCTCACACATGATAAATGCAGGGCAAACCTGTTTGTGGGAAGGGAATCTTAAGCCCAGTATTTGCACTGCAGCAACGGAGCATGAAATCACCTTAGGCATGATGAAGGTTCCGCTCATACCCTGATTTCCGCTCATACCCTGATTTCGGATGGTTGAAGGAGTATCATTACCCCAGGGCCCGTGTTGTGCTGGGATGGTCAATCCAAAGAGAAGTTTCAGGTAGGCTTGCCTTTGCATCTCCAAATTTTGCCTTGTGGGCTGAAGAAAATCGAATTGGTAAAGTGGAAACCCTCTTGGCCTTTGCCCCACAGGACCCCGAGTACCAAACTGCAGCTGCAGACTTCGCCAAGCAGCGGGCTCTCGCGGAATTGCTGACACGCGGAGAAAGAAGCTGACCCGGGGGTCATCATGAAAGCAAGAAGGGTAAATGACTAGCACCAAGCTGAGAGGGCCATCTATTTTCGTCCAAACTCACTTGAAAAGAACACCTACAAAAACAACACAAAAACAACATGCTAGCTGTCAATCGCTGTGGTTTGGTTTGGTTCGGATGTGGTTGCGCGGGCTGAGACTGCTAAACCATGCCGTTACAAAAAGGGCTCATGATCTCATGAACAGGTTGCTCATCCCCCCTAATGAAGATCGGTCATTTGTACGAAGAAACTGGCAGGCATGGGTCGTGCAACACAAACTCTGTGTTTCCTGCGCTGTTGCCGAGGATATTGAGGTCAGATGCCATGACTCTGGCATCCACCGGCTTTTAGGCTGTAAATCAGAACATATCTAGTAGCACACATGTGTGCCTTTTCACCTTGCAGTTTCTTCCTGGGGGGAAAATATCCAAGGTGCAATTTAGAAGCACCCGCCCTGTGAACCCCACAAAAAGGAAACGACCACAAATGTGCGGTTGATCAATGCTCCTGGCCCCCAGTTTTGACCATCTCTAACTTTTTCTCATGCACACATATCCTTTTTTGCGTAGTTTCCCCCCAATGCGCCGTTTCCCCTTCTGGTCCTGTGGCTGCGAGGTGCGCATCCATGGGGACTTGGGCAATGCGGGCCTGTGCCTGCTGCAGCTTCAGCGCCTGAGCTCAAGGGGTACCTTCCATGGCTGGTAGTGTCATGTACCGAAGACTAGTAGCCCGCTCCAAAGCGGCGCAGGGGTACCTGCCCCATTTTTGCCTTTTTTTTTAAACATATTTTTCAGGGATCCGGATCCCGGAATGCACACTCTAGATTGTGGGCTCAGGATCAACCATAGTGACTCCTTGCCATTTAAGATTTTGGGGTTTCGCACCGGGCGCAATGTTCGGGCGGGAAATTACTAGGACCCCTGGTTGAGGGTGACAATCTGAGGACCCTATTTAAGGGGGTTCAGGGAAACTACGTGGAACCCACATCCAAAATTGGACAGAATGACAACAAATGCTAACGTGGAGTCCCGCTCCGAGCGCCTTCCGTGATGTTAGATGTCCCAAAGCTAGAACGAAGCCTCCAAAAGCCAACCCCTGGTTGATCAATATGTGGGGGGGTCATTTCAGAGCGGCTGGCTGGGAGAGACACCATCCAATCAAATACTCCAACTGGCTGAATTATTATTTGGGGTCAACACAGGGACCTCCTTTTTGTAGAGAGCAACCAGTGGAAATTTGCGTTTTCATCCACCCGAAGATAACAGGGTTTCTCAAGCTTCCCAAGCTCAAGATTTCCAGACATGGCAAAACAATGTGCAATACGTGTACATACATACCAGCCATAGCTTTGCAGATTGTGATCTTTTGGGAGGTTCGACTACCTCGTTGGGATCAGTATCAATGGTTGAAGGTGCGAGCCTCTTGGAGATGGTGTGGACAGTCCATGCAAGGAGGTAGATGATTTTGGCAACCATCCGCCATTGCAGCATGAGCTCGAGAGGGTCCCCGCTCAGATAGGTGCAGCATGCCGCACTCAGGTGGCAGCTGCTGCTTCGAAGCGCGCCCGGAAAGAATATGACGTGCTTTGCGCGGGGCCAGAACGGAAGGTTGCAAACATTGACTGCAGCCCACTGCGTCCTTCTTTTTTAGGTCAGGCCACCGCCGGCAAATAGGAAAGAAGAAGCATTTGGGATGAGCCAATTTTGGGGAAGGTTACTGATTTTTCTTTTGTGGGTTCGGGTACGGTACTTTGAAAAGAATCATCCCTGGCAACTAAGCGATCCATGGCCCGCACCTTTCGCTAACTATTTGCGTAGATTGTTTTTTTGTTGGTGTGTGTGTGTGGGTGTGTGTTTGTGTGGGAGGCCCAAGAGTTCGCAATTCTGCATTTTTCAGTTCAGCGGCCGGAACCCAACAAGGGTCATATATCCCTGCGGGTGTTTGATCGTCCACCTGAGTGCGAGAACTCTGCTCCTGCAAGGAAGCCAACGAATCACAGACCGACCGACACCAAACCATTGCCTTTCGGAGCCAATGCAATTCTGTTTGCACTTGCTGGACATGTGACGTGATAATTGAAGTTTGAGTCTCACACCAATTGTTGGTTTCAGTTGTTCAGTGGCACCCTTTTTTCCTTTTTGTTTGGTGGCTGCCCACTAAAAATGGTTTTCCCCACAAAGGGTTCCCTGGTTTTTCTCCAGGGTGAACAACTGAGTGGTTTATCGGAGCCTTGGAAGCAAGACGTTGTGGAGTCGATCCATATTTCACCTTCGCCTGCGCTGCCCTCTTACTCAAAAAAGTCGGGCAGAGCATGAGACCTGCCCTTGAGGGGCCTAGTCCCGAGCCAATTGGCTTCCTTGTGGCGTGTATTCAAACACCGGCCCCCAAGCAGCAACGAGTTATTGAACAAAGTGGCACATTCCGTATTGCCTCACTAGACTAGATATGTGGGTCAAACCCCGGGTACCCCCCTCCCTAAGATTTCTTTTGATTGGCGCATTGCCAATATGCCTTCAGACTAGATATGGCCCAAATAAAAGGGGAGTTCCCCCAAGCGGCTCTGTGGGTATGTCAGGCCACATTCTGTTGCAAGAATTTGCTCCCGCCATGGCGCTGGTGCAGATGAATTCGCCTCGCACACCCTTTTCGCTTGGGAGGTGCCTTGACAGAAGTAGTGCCGTTTTACCGATTCTTTTTTGGTGGGGAGGGTTCCCCTACCAAAATAGACTACGGAAAAAGGGTGCCCTTATTCCAACCTCTCTACTGGAGGACCTAGACAGAAGTTGTGCCCCCCCCCCCCTATGTCCTGCCATCTCGCAAATCTCATGCCGGGCGCGTGGGGGGGCGGGGGGTGGCGAGGCCTTCTTTGGTGGCGTTCCTGCCGCAGGCCATTGTTCTCATTCCCATTGTGCACTTCAAAAAGGTCCGGGTTGTTCATCGGAACCCAGCGTACAATATCAACTGATCAACTCTTGGGGAAACCGATTGCGCTGTTCTCTTGATTTTAGGACACGACGGTTTCCTTTCCTTACTGGACGTTGTCTAGCGAGGGGACCAAAAATTCCCAGCGCTCAGCGAGGCCACGAACAGCCCCGCGGGCAGAAGCGACTGATGCTCCCAGCAACCCAAGGCAATGGAGGCGGGCCATTAATCCAAGCCTGCCACGAATATTGAACCTGACAGGTGGTCCCTTCAAAAGATGGCCGAAAATCGGATCGGTGTGAAAAGGGCTTCGGCTTTTACAGCACAGTGGTGCTTCTCATGCGCTGAAGTTGATGCCAGAGGGGTAACAGTTACAGTGTCTCGCTTTGGTCGGTTTGCCCTCAGTGGCGGCGAAAGGTGATAGCGCCGCCTCGAGACGGGCGAGCGCTCTAGCCGAGCTTCTTCAAGAGTGCTGTAAAGAGCGCCAAACATCTAAGGGTTGATTCCCCATTCTTGTCAACCATCGTTATTCTCAAAGATCGGCTGTTTCCCCTCGGCTTTTGATGGTTTCCCGACAAGAAGGATCCCGGGAAAGAATGGGGAAGGTACCCCTAGAAAACATGCCCGCAATGCAAAATGCAGTTGCTTGAAAAAAAGTTCTGTCCTGCACTCCAACACCCATTGGAAGACGATACCTTGTTTAGAGGCTGCTTCTCCTCAGAGAATTCACTTCAAGCAGGGCGCTTCTTTCTTTCAGAAACTTGCGTTGGCTTCGCTGGAGCGTACCTGGTATGGGCACGAAGATGTCGGCATATTGCCTGTGGGCGGCTTTGGCTGGCTGCAGTTTGACCCATTCCCGGTGATTCCTCACAAGTGCCAAGCCTTGAGCGTGCTGGCTGAGGGCAACGTCAAATCTCACAATGTCGTCCTTGACATTGAGGGTTGACAAAATTCCTTCCAACTGCGTAAAGAACCCCCCGAGCTCACACATCTTGAAAGTGATTGGGCAATTCCTTGGCCTTGAAGGACAGCATTGCCCGAATTTTACTGGAAAATCGTACGGTTCCATACAAGTGATGAACATTTGCTTGAGTCGTGCCTGTACCGTCAACCAAACAGGTGAAAGATCACAAGGCATCTGCCCCAAAAAAGCCCGCAACCTGGCCAGGTCCAGCATTTGGGGTGCGGCCATCGCTAGTGGCACCTTCAGGACCGCCAGTTTCCGGCGTCATTGCACTTGCAAACAAGGCGGAATCGGCCAAATCCATGTTGTGTTGCCTTTGCCTGGACATGGCCCCAAAAGGTGATCATGGGTTTTGCGTGGTTTGAGTGTGGGAATGTCCTCAAACCGGGCACTCCCAACCTAGGGTTTGATCACTATTTAGCTAGACCCAGAACAATGTGGGGATTCCTTTCTTGGTATAGAAGTGTGAACTGATTTCTCACTCTCGCCCTGTCCACAAGGGTGTTTTTTTGAGGGTACCTCTTTTCTGGAGCCTAGCTCGAACCACGTCTTGATTCGTGGGACATGTGAGTCATGTCTTCCGCTGGCCATGCGGTTTTGCAAGGCGTCCTTCAGGCCTGGCCTTCAGGTTCTGAGGCCCCAATTTGTAAAACCTACTGGACCTCACCGCCGGTTTTTTTTGGGTTTCCGGGGGGGGGGAGGTTGTGTTTAGGCCCATGATTCTAGGGGTTGATTCCTTGGATTCTCCCAGACCCAAGAGAGGAAGCTGAAAGCAACGTCACCAAGCTTCGGATGCTAGGGGTTGATTCCTTGTCCAAAGAAGGATCCCTGGAAAGAATGGGGAAGTTATTTTTAGAATGATTCTCCACACCCCCCAAGAGAGGAAGCTGAAGAACGAAGAATGGCTGGGCAGCTTAGGGTGCCTAGGCGCTAGCATCGTTTTAGTGGTCTGCATCAAGAAACGAGATGGCAAGGAGCCAACCGTTTTCGGCGGTTGCTTCCGCAAAGAACGAGCTTGCGAGGAATCCAGCAGCTCGACCCGCGGTGAAGATTTATGGCATTCTCACCATGCCATGGTGAAATATGATCCATGGTCGGAATCCCAACATCGCTGGGGCTAGAGCCATCTCGTTTTGCGGGCGGTTTCAGTTCGGTGTTCGGCCCAGTTCACCTGTTTCCCAGGACCATCCACTGGTCCTGTCTTTAAACATGGGGGGAGCCCGCAAGCTTGGGCGGTTTTGGAGGCCGGCCTTCATGACCATCCCAACAAAAAGAACTTTGTTTTCTTTCCGCAACAGCTGAAAGCTTTGGGGTCTCAGCCCAGATGGGCTCCGGGGTCCGGGCCGGCCCTGAGGTAAGGTTCCACGAGGGTTCCACCAAGGTTCCGCGAGGGTTCCACGAGGGTTCCGCGAGGTTCTGCGAGGGTTGCGGGGTGGTGCGAGCACTGAAAAGAGCACCGCATGCTGTTGGGGATATCACCTGAACTTCTTTTTTTCTTTTTTTTTGTATAGGATTGCCTTCACAACCATCCCAAACAAAAACGAGTTTCCGGTGGTCCGTAGGTTTCCCCCCCGAAAACGGACATGTTTTTTACTTCCGGCCCGGAGGGTCGGTACATCGCAGGCGCGGGCTGAAGAGGCTCAAGAGGACAGGGGGACGGCATCCAAATGGGGCGTGGAGCGGCCCACTTGGGGTTGGAGCCTCCAAAAGCGAGGTGAGGTCCGTTTGGTTTCCCTTTAACCTCTCCAAAACGAGGAAAACCCCGCGAGGTACGGATGTTTGTGGTGATAGGGCCCAACCATCCAATGTGTTTTGGCCATTTGGGCCGTTCTTTTCTTCAGAGGGTTCGGGTATTCCCCCGCGAAGTCGCTCTCAAATGTCAGCTCCGCCCATGCATTCCAGGGAACCTTCTTTTCTAGGGTAAACTATTGTTCTTCTTTTCTCAACGGGAGACGTGATGAATCAACCATCACGAAACGTGGAGAATCAAGAATCTAGCGAATGCACGAGGAAGACACTGGGACAGCGTTTGGAGAAATCAATCAATGGCTGAGGGTGTTTTGGCTTTGCATTTGTTGGCAGAGGTAGTTTGGCTCTATTCCGCAGACCTGGGTTTGTCACCAAATGGGCTGGAACTCCGCCCGAAAGGGAGTGCCCCCGTGTTTTCGTTGGCATCCTGGCAATCGAAAGCGTTGCGCCATGAGCTCACTGAGCGAGGCTACCCAGCAAAAATGGGGGGCCTGTCGCCGCGTTCCGCGACTCAGGTCCGGGCAAAACAAGAAATGCATCCCCATGAACATTAATTGCAAAGCCGCTACAGCCACTTGGGGCATGACGTGAAAATGCATTGACCAAGTTCAAGAAGCCACTGCTTCTAGAGTCGAGCAGGGCATTCCTTGGGCAAAACCTACGAATCCCCGAAACTCCTTGGCCTTGCTCAACAAGCGATTGTGTGCTTGTAGCTTCCCGACTGCAAATGGCCGAGCTCGATGCTCAGCACCTAAGCACAATGTATGCAGGGTGCAGACACTTTGTGACCCAGGCCACCCCACTTGCCATCCAAGTCTTAGGTTTCCCTTAAGGAGGTGTTTCTCAGTTCCCCAAAGCCGACCTTTTGACCTTTTGGTTTTCCCATTTTGGTCCATCATGGCCCCAAAAGGTGAACCTAGTTCCAGGTCCTTTGGGCTGAGGTTTTAGAGGAGTCCAACCCCCAGAAACCCCGTCCTGTCCAGGACGGGTGTGCGGGCTGACTTGGACGACAGCGGCTTGCTTTGGCTCACCTCTGAGGACTCAAGGGGCCAGGGAACCATCACAAGCCAAGCAACACCGCAGTTCAGCAGGGCTCCTTACGTTTTGCCCAGTTGAGACATAGCTTTTTCCACCAAAATAAAGGGAAACGCTCCTTAAGAGATACGTTTTGCAACCAGTTGAGACGTGTTGCTTTTTCAACACGGACACCACCATTTACAAGTTGCAAGGTTCAGGTGTATAATGTAAGGATCCCTGTTCAGTGGCACCCTTTGTTCCCCCTTGTTTGGGTGGCTGCCCCACTAAACATGGTCTTCCCCAACAAGGGTTCCCTTTTTTTTCCCAGGGTCACTGAACAACTGAGGGTGCATCCCACGTCAGCCAACGGGACTAGTGACTCTATGTGCCTGTTTTTGGACGTGGAATCCGGGGAGGTACCGCCCTGGTTCTTTGCAAAAGGGAAGCTGTTAGGTTGGGTTTGGTAGAAGCCTTTAGGTGGGCAAGGATGGATTTCCGCTTTGTTTTTTGAGGAAGGCCATGTTGTTTGGATTTGCAGGGATGCTTTGTTGATGTTGGAAGGAATCCAGTTGGTTGGTGTTGAAAAACATGTTGGTTCTAAAGGGACACAAGAATCGGATTTAGGGTTTAGGATTTAGGGTTTTTCAGACAAACCGATTTGAGGCAAATTTTGGACTTCAGAACTACAGTCCTGAAAATTGGCATCAATCCCCAAAGGTGTCAGGAGAGGTAGTGGCAGAAGGACAAACCGAAAACCACAAACCCCTAGCGGTTCAACCAGCTGGTCGTGTCGTTTCTCAGGGGCTCGCCGGGCCCGCCGATGATGCGTTGGTTGGAGAAAGATCCAAATGGAAGCCGTTGCTAGTTGTGGTGATCAGTTGCTGCATTCCGAGAGAAAGTTTTGAGAGGAAACCTACACTTGCATTGTCGGCTCAGGAGTCTCAGAAAGGACGGGCCCGTGTAACCGTTTTTTGGTGGCCTCTCCTTTCCTCTTCAAACATCGAAGCTTGGAAAAAACAATTTGCAGCTTTGTCAGCTTCAGTTGAGGTGCTCAAAAGGAGAATTCTCGGGACCCTTTTCCGGGGGTTGTGGGTAAACTCATAGCGTCCTCGCAATGCGTTTGCAACCTCCGGCCCCATGATGCAGGATAGCGTTCAGCCGGGTTTCCCTGACTAGGGGTTGGCCGCAATATTTGAATGCAGGATGCTGATAAAAAGGTTCGCTCTCTGTGGGGAATCTCCGGGTGTATTCCCCCCGAGAAGATCCCTTGGGGTGCAGAAGGCTGCGTTTGTCTGCGTAGGAGGTGGCGGGGGAAGGCGCGGAGGCGGGGGCCTGGGGGAATTGGGGGCTCGCAGCCCGCGCCTGGGGTCAACGGGTCAATTGGATCGGGCGGGGGAAGTTGGTGAAAAGAGATGGGATCAAGGGCCTTCACTGCCCAAGCGCTGCACCCCTGTTCATTCGCAACCTGCCTTCTTTTTTTTTTTAACAGGCCGCCTGATGCCACCAGCGCACTCTGGAACAGTTGAACACTCGCCAAAGACCGAGCAGAAGCAACGCAGATTGCCAGAATCGAAACCAGGTTTAGTCGTGACATGTCCCGCCATGGCTTTCCGACATGAGTCAGATCGGGCTTACACTTCCCCGCGAATGGCGAATAGAGATGGCGAGCGTGTCGGCTTGCCATTCTGGGGCTCAACGTATGACTGGGGGAGAACAATGCCCTTGATATCTTCCGCATGGTGTGTATATGCTTCACGGCTACATGCACTGGACAACTCTCCACGAGATCTCCTGACAGCACCGATTCGTTTCCCCCAAGTCCAGGAGCCCGTAAAGAGCCTTGCTCTACTGCTATTGGGTTGGATCTTTAGACTTTAACTTTTTGGATTCCCCACATATTTCCTTTTGACCAGCAAACAGTTTAACTTTTTGCTGGGGGATCTCAGCACCGATTCGAGGGAAACGCGAGGTGCTGGAGCTTCCAGTTCTCCCGGTGGAGGATGTGCACATGCCCGGTGCGTCGGTCACCTTGGAGGCAAGCACGAAGGGCAAAAATCGCACGACAAATTGTTCGGGAAGTCCAATCCCAACCATATTTGCACTATACCCGATTTGGCTGCTTTGATTTTTCCAGCGCCCCGAAACCGAAAATGCAAAGCCGTTCGCAGACAAGCACCGCCTGCCTTGGCACAATGCAGACCCCCTTGTTTTCGGAGCGACATGGGCAAAAACAAGTTGTAAAAAATCCATTGGAAGCTGTCGGAGAACTCCCTTTGAAAGAAAGTTCAGGCTCCCACCCCCTATTGCTTTTTCATTTGCGGGATGCCTTATGTACAGTTGGCGATTCAAGGTCGTTCGTGCAGCCACCTGTGGTCAAACGCCGGGGGAGGGAGGGGTTTGGAGCCCTCCGTGTAGCCAGGGCCATGGGTCATGAGAGCTTGGGCCTTAACGTGTTTCCGGTTTGGTCCACGTCTAAGATAGCGCAGTGGTGTTTTTCTTTCTGATTGTCCCACCCCAAGCCCCAATTCTAAGTGTTTGGCCCCCATATTGCCCCCATTCATATTCTCAATCTACATCACTCCGAGAATCAGGTTCCACGATTGGCTGCCTCCCACGTGGTTCCATTGAAGTCGCAGCTAGGTGAAGGACGTGCGCAGCTTGTACGACTCCCTGCTGCTGTCGGGCTCCCGCTTTGTGGCCACCGCCCTCTTCAACGAGGCCTGGGAGAACCCCTTGGTTCGCCTCGCGAAAACTCGGCCCCTCCTTGGGCCGGACCCGAACCGCGCCACAGGAAACAAAGACCTCCGCCCCTTTGGGTCGGTCCGGCCTTGCAACATCAACCCTTAAGATGACTTCACTGTTGGCACGTGTTTAGGTTTTCCGTCTTTTTTCCCGAAAGCATGGCGAAGGGTTCTTCCGCTGGGTTCACTTGAATTGTTCTCATGAGAGTCATTACAAGGTGTCATTGCAAGGAATCATCATCATGAAAGTCAATGCAAGGAGTCATTGCAAGGAGTCATTGCAAGGAGTCATTGCAAGGAGTCATTGCAAGGAGTCATTGCAAGGAGTCATGGCAAGGATTGCAACTTGGACTCCTTGCACTTGCAACTTGCACTTGACTCCTTGCACTTGCAACTTGCACTTGACTCCTTGCACTTGCAACTTGCACTTGACTCCATGCACTTGCAACTTGCACTTGACTCCATGCACTTGGCTCCTTGCACTTGGCTCCTTGCACTTGCAACTTGCACTTAACTCCGTGCACTTGCGACTTGCACTTGACTCCATGCACTTGGCTCCTTGCAACTTGCAATGCAATGACTCCTTGCAATGACTCCTTGCAATGACTCCTTGCAATGACTCCTTGCAATGACTCCTTGCAATGACTCCTTGCAATGACTCCTTGCAATGACTCCTTGCAATGACTCCTTGCTCTGCTTGCAATGACTCCTTGAAACAAGCAAGGAGTCAAGTGCAAGTTGCAAGTGCAAGGAGTCAAGTGCAATTGACTTGCGAGGAGTTAAAATCTCTTCTTAGGGCGGCGGGGTAGTGCCGACGACGACACTACACGAAAATCGACCCTCTGCGGGGATCGGCGTGGTCGAGGTGCAAAAACCCATGGTTTTTTGCGATTTCTAACCTGCTCGCGCGACCCTCTGCGGGGATCGGCGTGGTCGAGGTGCAAAAACCCATGGTTTTTTGCGATTTCTAACCTGCTCGCGCGACCCTCTGCGGGGATCGGCGTGGTCGAGGTGCAAAAACCCATGGTTTTTTGCGATTTCGCTCGCGCGACCCTCTGCGGGGATCGGCGTGGTCGAGGTGCAAAAACCCATGGTTTTTTGCGATTTCTGCCTGCTCGCGCGACCCTCTGCGGGGATCGGCGTGGTCGAGGTGCAAAAACCCATGGTTTTTTTGCGATTTCTGCGGTGCTCGCGCGACCCTCTGCGGGGATCGGCGTGGTCGAGGTGCAAAAACCCATGGTTTTTTGCGATTTCTGCCTTCTCGCGCGACCCTCTGCGGGAATCGGCGTGGTCGAGGTGCAAAAACTCAAGGTTTTTTGCGACTTTTGTTGTTCGAACTGGTCCTCGGGAGTTGTCTCGTGGTTCGTGCGCCTGCTCCCGGAACCGGCGGGTCGCGGGTTCGATTCCTCCCTGGTCCGCGGGCGGGCGTCGCAAGATGCAACTTGCATTTTACAGCAACTTGCGCAGAGCAACTTGCGCAGAGCAAGTTGCACAGAGCAACTTGCGCAGACCAACTTGCACCGACCAGTTTGCGCAGAGCGCCTTGCCTAGAGCAACTTGCGCAGAGCAACTTACGCAGAGCAACTTGCACAGAGCAACTTGCACAGAGCAGCTTGCACAGAGCAACTTGCAGGGAGCGCAATTTGCACAGAGCAACTTGCAGGGAGCCACTTGCAGGGACCAACTTGCCGGAGCAACTTGCGCGGAGCAACTTGCGCAGAGCAACTTGCACAGTGCAACTTGCGTAGAGCAACTTGCGCAGACCAACTTGCACCGACCAGTTTGCGCAGAGCACCTTGCCTGGTGCTGTCTCGCGCTTGCTTCACGAAGTGTAGGGAAAAAGAACGCATCCTGCAGCGTTGGGCCGACCTCGCTTGCGATGTTCTGCTTTCGGGCCAACCGTGGTCTAGTTGGATCTGTTCTTTTTTTGTAGGGGGCTGCACAAAAGAGCGGCTTTTGCTGCCATACCGTTAACGGTAGGACAGATAAATTCCGTTTTGTTCAGGGCTGCAACATAAGAGCGCCCAGGTTGAGGGTAAGTGTCAAATGGCACCCACCAATTAACGTGGAACCTGACAAGGGGGGTCCTGCATGGAAGACAATAGTCCTTGTCCTGGAATTCTTTGCATTTTGCCTGGATGTTCGGACTTTAACTTTTCGCCAAGTGGGTTTTCTGTTAATTAAACCCACTAAAAGAAAGCTCGTCAAACCTTTTTGCAGGGCAAGCAGATTTCGCACCCGAAAATCGGTAGCCGAGAGAAGCGAAGGCGGCGTTTCCCTGCGAATGAAAAAACAACAACAAAAAACTGCGCATTCGCTTGACCAAATTTGCTTGGGAAGCCTTAAAGGAAAAGCATGGGCCCGGGTTGATTTCGTTGATCAATATTCCCTTCGGCCCCAAGATGACCACAAGTAAATTGTCCCAGTGGTGCAAGTCATCTTTCTGGTGGTTTCCCCGTGTAAAAGACCTTTTCATCAACCCCCATATGGGATCATGGTTGCAAGGGGGATACCGTTTCCATTTGGATGCGTCCAGTTTGGGATTCGTTTGGCAGTCAGGGATTTTGAAACAATATGATCAAGACATGTTTTAAAGTGAGATTGCAAAAGCACACATGGAAGGATTTCTTGCACGCAATCGGCGCATATAGAACATGCTTGTTGCATGTGTCTTTTAAGGGAATCCTCTAGGTGCCATCGGGTTGCCCTTCAAGAACAATGTGCAATAAATGCTCGGCGTGCTGTTCGTCTCTTGCGGGCAAGAATTTAAATCAAATTCCATTTACGGATATTTGAATGTTTGAATCGAAAACCGGGCTTTCTGAAAGGTCAGAAACACATTTGCGTCATAGGTTTTCGGTCGCAAGTGCTTTTGTGAGTTCGTGATGTCGTTTTCTGTGGGTATTGGCATTGATCGCGAAAGTGGACTCCATTATACATGTTGCGCCACCTTTGCTAATTCATGTTTTACCACGGGGTGACAACGGGCCTAGTTTCGAAGCGCAAACTCGCATGTCAAGTGGTAGCTGCAGGCGATCCAGAAACTTGTATTTTTGTTCCAATCTCACGTGCGTTTTGCCTGGTAACAGACATCATTGTGAAAGAAGCTTGCCGCTTGGGAAACAATTGTTTGTGAGCATGCTGTGCTCGCTGCCGTTGACGGAGAAAGATAGATGTACATGCCCCAATTTCCGGGTGGAAGGAAGAGATTGACTTTGGGTCGATTTCCAAACGGCAGCACACCGAGCCCCGAAATGAGTTCGAGTTGAGCACTTGAAACTCGGGGCAAGCCATGTTAGGGTTGGAGCTCGGCTGGGCCTCTTCCATCAGCTCCCATTCTTTGCTGAACGGGGCTGGGTTGGTGGAAGTTTCGTTTGTCATGTTACAAGTTTCTTGCCAATGCAGTTTTCAAGATTAGAATGTGGAATGACCTCCAAAGAGATCAAAATTGGGGGGGAGGGTGTATCAGCCACCTTCTTGTAGGGTATTGGGTTTTTTCAGGGTTCTTGGCTGCAAAATCGACGTTCGTGTCCACGGCACCAGGGGGGGGGTCCCAAAGAGCTCAGGAGCGCCAGGAGATGGCGGCAGTTGGCACCCTACTCTACCTCGAGGAGGGCAAAGATATCGATGGCCTTGCCTTCTGATCGGTTTTGGGTATGACAGATGGGTTCCACTGTTCCACTGGTTTAGATTGGTTTTCTTGGCTCCCAGCCATCCGGTTCCTTGGCTTTGTGGCGCCTTTTAGTTTTTAGTGGTAGTTTCCATTTAACCCACTGCCCAGTTTGAGCCATGCACCAGGGGGATTTGGCCATCTACGCTTCAAGAACACCTATCAGAACCAAAGTTGACCCATTCGGCAGGGAGCTAACATATTTGCACGCGCATGGACAAAACAAGACCGGTTCTGGTGTGAGTGTCTCGTTTTCGACCTCACCTTGCCCGACCCTGAACCCAGCCCGAGCTTGAACCCACAAAGCTACCTACCCATTCAAAACCAAAATTATTTTTTCGTCCAGCTGCCCCAGTGCCTCTCCTAGGTCCCCCAGTAGAGCCCTTTTACATCCTTTTACCCTTCTTTGGGGGAGGGTTCCCCTAAAGTAAACAGGGTACCCTTCTTCGAAGCTTCTCCACGCAAGGGACGACTAGGTCTCCCTCGAAACCAGGAGCTGCGAGACTGTCCTACGGGCCTGGTGGCGGAGCACTTTGCAGTGGCCAGGGTTCGCCTGCTGAAGCCCGGAAAGCCGGGGCACATGGAGGCCATTATTTTTGTTCGCCAGTTCTTTTCTGAGAGAACCTCGGGCTCCAAGGGAACCTTAAAGAAGTCCAAAGGGAATCGAGCGACCTTGACCCTTTTCCCATGTTGGGTTCCCATTTTTGGTCATGACCCCAAACGGTTGAGGCTAAAAAACAAAGGTTTTCAGGTCCTTGAAACAACTGAAAACAGGGTTCCAGGCGTAGCTGCTGGTGGATCGCATGTCCACAGGGGGTCACCTGTCGCGCGTTTCGGGGCAAGCCCCAAAACCAAGCTCGCTCACCGCGTTTTTCATTGGCAAGCTCCAGGCGACTGGTATTGGCAACACAGGGACATGCGGATGCTTAGGGGGGGAAAAAGCCGTTCTTGAAGTTCAATCACAAGCTGCAATCCTAAAGTTCCGGAGCTTTGAATGTTCAACTCGAAACCCAGGATTCAGGTCGTTTTGTTGTCCTCCTCCCAGGGCACAAATGAAAGAAGTTTACCAAACGTTGGCCCAGCGCTGTCTTCTGAGGGCTACAGACTCGCGAATGCGGTTGGGTGTCGTAACATGGTTCATGTGTTCCAAGCGCTGCCTGCAAATGTGGACGCCCTCAGCGCGCTTCCGCTTTTCCAGGCAGAGCTCCTGTGGGACTGCGACGAGGAGAACGAAAATGTGCCAATCGCACCTCGGCAGAGCCGCAGAATGCCGATGACTCTGGGCAGTGCATGGCAAGCGTTCAATCTGAGGGGTCTTGGGAGTTGGTTTGTTTCAGATTGGCTAGATTTCAGGTTTTTTTTCTCCGCATTTTGCAGATTTGGACACCGCATAAGGCCTGGCACTGGAATCCATGTCACGAGAGTCCAAGGGTTGAGGCCCGCCTGGCTGGACGAAATCGGCGTTGCTTCAAAAGCCTGTCGTCCGCGGTTGAAAAACCCAAAGAAATCCATGTGAAGCCACTTTTGTTCTCGCTTCCCGTGATGCAAAAAACCAACAAGGAGGGGGCTTTTCGCTCATGAAACCAACCTGTTGGACAAGGTCGCAAGGCGCGCCACACCCCACGAAGAGAGGATGTGATGCCGTGATAAATTAGGCACCTCAGGGTTGGTCAATCGGGCGCGGAGTGAAAGGTTTTCAGAACTCTTTCTTTCAAAGTGGTGGAGCCCCCAACTTTTTTTTCCACTTGGTTTCATTTGACCCCCCAGGAAGAAAAAAGGGGTCACAGAAAACATATGCAAGCGACCGCAGCTTATATATTATGAGGTTTGCTTGGGGGGTGGGGTAGGTTTCCCCCCAAACACCATGGTTTAGTGCTAGCACGTGCTTTCCTGCTTTGTATCGTTGGAATCCACGGCGACTCCAAGTTGGCCAGCCCTTCCCTCGGCATTCGTGGTTTCTCAGACGCGCTTGCAGCCGCAGCTCGGGCAACTGGAGCGTTTGCGGGGAAAGCTGAAGCAAGAGGGCCTCGAGGAGAGAAGCCGCAGCATGTGCAGTGTGGTGATTTTGGTAGACGTATGGAGGGGTCGACCTCAATAGCCCCGAAAGGATTGAAAAGGGCTTGTGGGTCACTTGCGAGCCCGCTATTTCTCAAGGAACCACCTTTTCGGGGTTGCTTCCATGCAAAGGAAGCCAAGCCCCATCCGCCTCTGCCAGCAGAAGAGTTGTTCAGAACCCTTCTGACTAGCCTCGTTCAAAGAAGGTTTTCAGAACCTTTCTTGGGCAGAGCCCCTGGTGTGTGCGGCTATAGGGGGAGTGGCTGACGGACCAATTTGAATATTTTGCAGAAGGGACCCCTGCAAACATGTGTTTTTTTCCTTTGGCTTTCCGGATTTTGCTTTGAGGGGAACCAAAAGGAGCCAGTCACCTCACGGAATTTGGCCTCTCAATTCGTACGTCCACATAGAGGCATTGCCAAACAGCATCCAACCATACCAGGAGATGTCCCAAGAGAATCCCAACACCTTTTCATGCAGTGACCCCTGGAACCCCAGGTCCGCTGCCAGCAAGTGTGCAGCTTGCCAAACACTGCAAGCCGCTATAGCTCCCCTTCTGACCGTCAAAGCAACTCCAGGTGCCTTCAAGTGTCCTCCACCATGGTATGAGCACGGTCATGAAAATCCAACTTTGGCATCGCAGAAAGGGGCAACCATTTGCTGCCATGAGGGGAACCAACATGAAGCTAGCAGGCTAACCACCTGGAAGACCTCGTCTCCAATGCAAACGATCCATGAAGACTCGATACGCTTCCGCTCCACCTCATTCCCCTCACCAGCACGCCTGTGCTGCCCGACCCGACTAAAGCCGTGACGAATCACAGCCAGAAGAAACAGCAAACTGCAGAAGTTGAACAACAAGTAGCATCTTCACAATCTACAGCTTTGTACGTGGTCAACGACTCGCGTACCAAGCTCCCGGCCGACGGAAAGTCGCGTACATGCTTCAATTTTCAAGCGGGTTGACCAGCCACCTAGATAATCCATAGCATGTTCGAAGATGTTTGAAGAGACATTGGTGGCTCGTCTTTTTGAGGAATCGGACCCCCACCACCCCCCCACCCCCCCCCCCCCCCCAAAAGCGGGGGTCCTATTGGTTTCCCTGTAAGCCAACCCCAAAGTCAGTTCCCAAAACTAGCACGACACACCCACACCGGTTGCTCGCTAGGAGGCGTTGCGGCTCCAGCCGCCTTTGCCGCGGCAGCTGCGGGCAGTGCAGGGCCTCTGGCGCGCCAAGAGCGGGGTCCGCATCCGCATCCTGAACCACCAGGCGATGCGGCGATACGTCAGGAGTCCGGAGGGGAATTTGGAAGATCTGGGCGCTCAAAGTATGGGAAGCATGTGGGTTTCTTCCTTTTTCCCGTTTCCCAAGCCTCCAAAGATGAGAGGGTACAAGGGAAGGGTCAGCTGGGGACCGCCGATATGCCTAAGTGTGTGGTTTGTTCGGGACCGTTTCTTTTGGCTGGGGGGATGTGTTGCTTTGGTTGTTGCTGTGTGTGTGTGTGTTTATCAAAATATGTACTAAGGGAGATAGCCAGCCTGTTAGCTTACTTCGCAACCTACATAAAATTCACACACCGATGGGTCACTATACATCCATGTTTGAACATTTTGTTTGGGCCATGTCAAAATGACATTCCTTTGGGAGGGGTGATGTTTGAAGTGCTGGGAACGGGGGTGCCTTCTGAGTCCCTAAGGCAATTGTCGGGACCAGCTTCAAGAGGGTTCCGCTCTTTGGTGTCACAAGAGAGTGGCGAGTGACTTCAGTGGCCATCAGGGAACACTAGGAGTGGATGATGAGAATGCAGAAAAGCCAAGTGTTTTGTTCCCGGAAAGGGTTGCCTTCCAGTCGTTTCGTCAGTGTCCCTCAATTTCCTGTCTTTGAGCCTCAAGAAGTTTTGTTTTCATTGGAGCGACGTAAATCCCAACTGTAGAAGGGAAAATCCGGTGACCACTCCCTTTCTTTTTGCAAAGAGGATGTTCCTTCAAACGCAACCAGCAAACATGTGCATGTTTCCCCTTGGCCACGTGGCGGGGAATCCGAAAGAAACACCACCAGATTCCTGAAAAGGAACTGGATCCCTAGAACTGACATTGCCCCCCCCCTCCCCCCCTCCCCTTGAATGGACATCAACCGGAAACCCCCACAAAAAAAAAGAAAAATGCTTCATTGTTCTTTTAAGCCGACTCAGATGGAGGGAGGCGGGCGCTCCTCCGGGCTTGGCTCGACGCCAGGTCGTTGGCTTGGGGAAGTTGGCCCGAAGCTCAGGGGCGGAGGCCTTCCTCCCATTTGCCATGGCACCAACGAACATGACGGGGATAGACCACCCATTTTAGGCTTTATTTGAGTTGGGGGTACGGGGTTTTGACCCATGGCCACATGGAAGTGCACAAAGGCCTTTTCCACCAGGAGTGCTGCTGCCTGATGTCACTTAAATCTTCTTTGTTCCGTTTCATGTCCCTTTTTACGCACAGCTGTCCAAGGCGAAGAGGAAAGTCGTCTTTCTACAGGGGTTTGTGCACTTCCATGTTCGCCGGTGGGAGGGTAACATGGCACCTGACCCAGGATCCGGTTGAGGAAATTCAGCGACCGAGGGTCCCACGGGTGCTGTGGATGGACGAAATCCATCAACCACCATTTGAAAACCATTGTTGAAACCATTGTTGGTTGGTATCTAGAGGGGAATCATCATTCCAGGGTTTCTTAGGTTGTGCAGAATTTTGTTCATCCACAGGATGGTTGTTGGAGGAGGGGTAATCCTTGTTTGCTGAATCATGTCATGCTAATGCGCATTCCTTTTAAGGGCGGCTTTTAGACATCTCACCTTTGGATTGCCGACTTTGGATCATCTGATCAACGGACCACACATTGCGAGCATGGACAGAGCGGATGGAGCATGAGGGAAATGGCGAAGTGGTTTTCCCAGGACTGGATTCCACAGTAAAACGCTAAGAGGTGGTTGGTTTCTTGTTGGTCTCCCCTGAAACCCTCACATTTGGCGACAACCAATTTAAGGGATGTATCGCATGTAGAGAGGTGGGTAATTGAATCAGGTTTTTGTAGGTGCTCCACCTGGGTTCTTTGGTGTTTGTCAGAAGCCACCTGCCGAGGTGGCCGGTTTTCTGTTCTTTGTCAAACAACAGAAACAGGAACACGTTGCTATGTTGAGATGGAGACTGCACCAGTTGAGCTCGCAGAGCGGCATGTAGAGGAAACGTGCCCCCAAAAGCCAAGGACCTGGCTAAAGCTTGATTGTCTAGGGCAAGGGTTTACCTTGTCAATGGAAACCTGCTGATCTTGTGTCAAAAACAGCCAAAGCAACTTTTTTGGGGGCAAGAGGATCCTGTGCAGGACTGCCATGACGGTCAGCTCACAGTGCAGCTGTCTACGCCCTTTACCGGCCGCATCACAGCCGAAGGCTCCGTTCGTTCGATTTAACCTCAGGCTTGCAGAAGACCCCCCTGTGGCAGGCGGTTGCCACCAAAAGCTTGCCAAGGTTTAGTCAATTCGCAGGAGTGGGCAACTTTGAGGAAGAGTTGGACATGGTGCAACCAACATTGGCATGGCAAGGGTTACTCGGATAGACTCTCGATGCTTAGGGAAGCCTCCTGACTGAAGTTGACACCTGCAAGGCGACGACGGCATTGCAGAGACCTTGTCCTGGGATGATGGTGATGTCTGGCAGAGGCCGTTGCCTCAGTTGTCCAGTGGCACTCTTTTGCTGCCCCACTAAAAATAGTCTTCCCCAAAGAGGGTTCCCTTTTTTCCAGGGTCACTGAACAACTGAGTTGCTGATGGTAAGTCAAATGGCAAATGCAACTCCCAGCCCGGCGGGTGTGAAGATCAAACGAGCCAGTTCAAGCTAAATCAGACGGACACCCAAACCTTGATTCAAAGCTGTCTTATTGAAGCTCACAGAGGGGATGTTCTCAAATCCGGACCATCTATAGTCGTCAACATGGGGGTTGATCAACATTCCCTTCGGCCCCTGAATGACCATGGGCATAACTTGTCCCATTTAGTGGTGGACATATCACATCTTTCTAGTGTTCTCCAACCCATGATCATCCCCTGAGTTTGCAAAGGACCCTTTGGTCAACCCCCACCTACCTGACCCTTCAAATCTGAAACCATGGTTGAAACCATTGTTGGTTGGTATTTGCATGACAAACCCATTGTTGGTCGGCATTTACAGGGGGACAAATTTTATTTGGAAAAGCCACAAAAAAGAGCACAATTGTCTGTTGGCATTTGCAGGACAAACCATGTGCTTGTCGGTATTTACAGGGGACAACCGGGGAAAAACAACAACATAAGAACAAGCACAACTTTGTTGTTGTTGTTGTTTTTCCCGGTTTTCCACTGTTTTTCCCGGGAAAACCTTTACAACTTTGTTGGTTGGCAATTCCATGGATTTTCCGCAAAGGTCCCTGGATTCTTTGCAGGCTCTGCGCCCCCGCGCCGCTGCGGGAGGCCCCAGCAGCGGCGGCGCTGTGGCGCGCGGCGCGGCGCTGGCGGGCGGCAGGCGCCTGTCCGGAAAACCGATGCCTTTGGTTTCTTTGGTTTCTTTGATTTCCTGGACTTTTGTCGCTTTTTGGGTTACCAGCCTGCGAAGGGAAGCTGAGATTGGCATTTGTGTTGCTTCCTAAGTTCCGTTTCCCGGACTTTGGTCACTTTTTTGGGTTTGGACCAGTTGGCAAGAAGCAGCTTGGACTTTTTGTGGCCCATCTTGATTTCATGATATGTATAGTCATAATTGCCCAATGCGCTGATTGCACTCCGTGTGGTTTTGGCTCAAGAAAAGGGTGCGCTCCGCAGTGCACCCCAGAGCCGAGATATTGTATTTTGATGGTAGCGGGTGAGCCTCGAGGGGCCTAAGGGCAAGAGCAAGGGCAAGAAGGGCAGGAACAAGGGCAAGAAGGGCAGGGGCAAGAGCAACAAGGAGGAGCCGCCGTGGAGGCGGCCCGCTCGCGGCAAAGGCAAAGCCGCAGAGCCGGTCGAGGAGACCGGGGCAGCGGAAGAGCTGCCGAAGGAGAGGCCGGAACTAGTTGCCCCTCCGAGTGAAGAAGAGGAAGAGACCCTGTCCGCTGAGCCTGCCGCTGAGTCAGAAGCAGACTGGGGAGGATCCCAGGCTGCATCTCCTCCCTCCTCAGAGCCAGAGGCTCTGCCAAGTGGCCACAGGGGCCCAGAACCGGCTCGAGGAAGCCGGGCAGAGGAGAAGGAGGAGGAGCTGGAACAATACACCAACGAGGACAAGAAGGAGGACCTCCACCCGCCGCAGAAGAAGCAGTTTGAGCCCGAGGCCGCGGACTTCGACCTGGAGCAGAAGGACCAGAGCGAGGACGAGAGCGTGTGGGGCGATTGGGGCAGCGGGGGCAGGATCCAGCCTGAGCCCGAGCCCAAGGTCGCTCGCACGCCTAGGTCGTCAGGATCCGGGTGGTGGCTGAGTGCGACTGGCAAAGACAAGAGGAGAAGCCAAAGCAGCCGGCAGTTTAGGATCCTCAAAGGCCTCCTGAAGCTCGCGCAGAAGAAGCAGGAAGAGCCATCCGCGGAGCTCCAGGAGGAGATCGAGAACTTCGGGCAGGCGCCCTGGAAGAGGCGCCGGGTGCAGCCCAAGACACCACCGAAGTCCCCGCCTAAGTCCAGCCCTGCTCCGAAGACACCGCCGAAGGGATTCACAAAGGCCCAAGGAAAGGAGCCTTCACCGGGCGCTGAGCCCGAGCTGCTGGCACCGGTCGCCGAGGCAGCCAAAGCTCTCGGCCGACGGGTTACGGTGCACAGGAACATACAAGAGCTTGCGGTGGCAAGGACATCCCGCGGTGAAGGGACGAGCGAGCAGAACCTGGCCTCGAACTACCGCCTCAGGAAGGCGGCATCGGCAGAAGCTGCATACCGAGCCGGAGCAACGGGCTCGGTGGCCAAAGCCATCCAGCAGAGTGTGCTGCAACTGGACGGGTTAGGGAACCCGTGTTCCTCGTGCGACGAGAGGACTCGCCTTCAGAGGCCATCATTGTTGGCCAGGGCCGCAGCAATTGCAAAAGGGGCGGCAAGGAGGCGCGCACCGGTAGGAACGACCTCAAAGTCGGTACCGGAAGCCATCGCGACGCCTCAGGTGAAGCCACCTCCTGCAAAAGCGGCTGTAGAGGCGAGGGTACCACCTCCACCGCCAAAGCCGAAGCGGGTGCTCAAGGAGAAGGCCCACATCGCGAAGCCCAAGAGCGAGCCGAAGGTTTCGCTGGCTCGGCCGAAGCACCCGCCGAAGCGGCCGCCACCTCCGCCACCGACTCCGTCGCCGGCCACACCCCTGAGCGAGACCGAGGGCAGTGTGCACCTTCACGATCAACCGGCGCCGGAGCCGAAAAGCGGATCGAGCTCGGGGTCGTACTATAGTACAGAAGAGTCCGGGAAGGCGGACTGACCTCCCGGTGCTTGGCACCGGATATAAGGCATGGAGGAAACAGTGCGAGAGTTGCAGCAGGCAGTTGAGCGGTTGTCACAGGAGAATCAACTTCTTAGGCAAGGTCAGGCAGGTATAGCTGCTTTGGCAGAGAACCTTGGTAGGTTAGCTACAAGCCTGCAGAAAGGCGATAGGAAGTTGTTGATAGACACCAAAGGGATTGGAAGACCGGAAGTCTTCTCCAATGATGACAGCCACTTCCGTAGATGGGCCCGGTCTGTGGTGAACCTCACAACGGCAATCTTTGGATCCAGTTTCCAGTCAATCCTTGAATGGGTAGTTGATCAGGATGAGGAGATCACTGTTGAAAAGGTAGAAGAGGAACATGGAGGTGAACTAGGAATGGCCGGACTGGATGATAAGGGAGACCAACTGTATCGGTTGTTGTCATCCCTTACTACTCATGAGTCCGAAGATCTGGTCATCAATGCCAAGAACGGGTATGAGGCATGGCGAAGGCTTAACAGGAGATGGGACCCCCTCACCGCAGGTAGGAAGAGGAACATCCTAAGGGCCATCCTCAACCCCGAAAGAGTTAAGTCTTGGGAAGCAGTTCGACCGGCCATGGAACAACTAGATGATTTGATGCGCCGATATGAGGCCAGAAGGAACGAAAGGGGCGAGAGGGAAATCCTCTCTCAGGACATAAAGTGTACGTCCCTAGAACTTCTGGTTCCAACCGACATTGAGCGCCACCTCATTCTGAACAAGAACCGGCTGGGAACCTACGAGGAAATGAAGCAGGAGATTGAGGTTCTGATTGAAACAGTCACGGGAGCAAAAGGGACGGTCCATCGACCGGGGTCCAGTGGGGCTTCGGGATCGGGGCGAGGCCCCGCTCCGATGGACGTGGACGCCATCACGAAGGTGCTCAACTCGCTGGTCAAAGGCTCGAAAGGTTCGAAAGGAGGCAAAGGTAAGGGAAAGGACAAAGGCGGAAGCAAAGGCAAAGGAAAAGGTAAGGACAGCAAAGGAAAAGGTAAAGGCAGTGGTTCAGGCAGCTCAGGACCCGCAGGAGCATGCTTCAACTGTGGTAAGACCGGCCATAGAGCGGCCGAGTGTTGGAGCAAGAAGAAGGATGGAAAAGGTTCCAAAGGCTCAGGGAAGTCTGGCTCCAAACAGAAGCATGTGGCAGGATTCGAGGACGCCGACTACGAAGCTGGAGACCAAGAAGAACAACCGGAGGCCGAAGTGGGAATGTTTGAGCTGGGTGCATTCACCCAGGGAGAGTCCCCGAAAGACCCAAGCTGGGTTCGGTTCAACCTTGATACGGGGGCTGCTCAGACTGCCATTCCAGTGGATTGGAAAGACCGCATCCCCACTAAGGAAGGAGCCCAGATGATGTTCAAGACAGCATCGGGGGAACTGGTCCCTGGGACCGGAACCGGGACGTTTCAAGGTAAGAGTGAAACAGGTTCCAGGTGTAGAGTCACAGGGCCATTAGCACCGGTACACAAACCGTTGGTTTCAGCTTACAAATGCCTCAAACATGGAAGGATGGCTGTTCTTGATCAAGATGGTGGACAATTGATTCCAGTAGACTCAGCGACAGGAAGGAAAATTCAGCAGTTGCTCAACAAGCCCAGTAAAGCCCAAAAGAAGACTTGGTTGCCCATATACCAAGAGAAAGGAGTTTACAACTTCTATTTGAAGTCGGAAGATTGTTCGGGTTTTGGACGGCAGTCCAGCGAGGCGTAAGTCCGGCCAAACCACTTGCAGCGGCAGATGATGCCGTGGGTGCCGGACAAGGGAACCCAGAGGCACCAGCGGGCCGACCCGCAGGTGTGCCCGAGGGTGATGAGATGGATGAGAGCGGCGAGATCGCGCCGCCCGCACTGGTGAGAGCACCAGGAGGCCCATCGAGGGCCGAGGTTGCGGAGCATGAGGCAACAGGTCACGTGCAGTATCGCAACTGGTGTCGGCATTGTCTTGCCGGCAGAGGATTGGGTCAGCAGCATCGCTCACGACCCGAAGAGGACAAGGCGAGCGATGAGCTCGCGACAATCTCGTGCGACTACACATGGATGACGCGAGATGGAAAGGAGGATGGGAAGACTAAGCCTATCCTGGTGATCCGAGACAGTCGGACACTGGCCGTTGCGGCCACCTTCGTGGACGCAAAAGGACCGACGCCATATGCGGTCAAATTCATGGCGAACTTTATAAAGCATCTTGGTTACCGTCGTGCAGTCTTCAAGAGTGATGGTGAGCATTCGATCGTTGCCCTGAAGGAGCAGGCGGCCAAGGAAGCAGGAGTGGAGAATGTTCCACAGGAGTCGCCGGTGGCTGACCACCGGGCGAATGGCGCAATCGAGAACTTGTGCCGAGAACTCAAAAGGCAGGTGAGAGTCCTGCGATCCTCACTGGAGGAGAAGTTGGGTCGAGTCTTGAAGGATGACGACCCTGTGCTGTCTTGGTTTCCAAGGCATGCAGCAGACCTGATGTGCAGGTACAAGAGAGGTTCCGACGGGAAGACACCGGAACAAAGGAGGTGTGGCCGAGAATGGAGAAAGCCGGCAATCGCCATAGGGGAGCGGTTGTACTACCGTGAGGTAGGAGAAGGAGCTAGGCCACTCAAGGAAGGCAGGTACATAGGTCACCATGGAAGGACTGGCACTTTGCTGGTTGTGACCTCAGAAGGAGTGAAGAGAGGCACTGGTGTTCGTCGACTTCCAGAAGAAGATCAATGGAATCCACAAGGATGGGAAAGCCTTAAAGGCTACCCGTGGGAGGTCTCAGTGCGAGCGCCGGGAACGCCGGGGCAGAGGGCCCCGGGAACTCCTGCTCAAGGAGTGGAGGACCTGCTGGTCAGCGAAGACCGGGTTGAGGTTCCGCCTCAGGTTGTGCCTGTTATGGCACCGCCACAGCAGCGACGGATTTACATCCGTAAGGCAGATGTGGAGAAGTACCAACCTACTGATGGATGTCCTGGATGCACTTGCGTGCTACTAGGGGAGTCCACTCAGTTGCCGCACACTGAGATGTGCCGAGCGAGAATCGTCGGTCTCATGATGGATGATGAGCAAGGACGACGCCGTGTCGAAGCTCACAAAAGGAAAAGAGAGGAGACCGCGGAGGTAGGAGTGGAAGCAGATCTCCCAGCCCAAGAGGCCATGGGAGAGCCGGCCGCTGAGGCCGGAGTAGGATCTAGGCAAGACCCTGGACAAGTGATGGAGTATGTGGAGGATCCCGCGAAGAGGGCTGAGCTCAAGAGAGCAGCAGCAGGCCCGCCAGCATCGAGTAGTCCAAAGAGCAAGGCGAAGCCGACCGCGCAGATCAAGAGACCGGGAGCGCTGTATATAGCGCCCGGAGCCAAGCAGAAGACGCAGCAGAAGCAAGGTGAGAAGCGAGAGCCCGCAGTATCTCCTGAAGAACTCCGAACGGAGACTCAACCGGCGGCTGACGCCGAGACTTCAAACACCCCGGACAAGCCCCCAGACGTGGGCGGACTTGAACTGGGTAGATTGAAGAGGATGTTGAAGTCCATGGTTGGACGGAAAGTAGAGAGAGCGTTTTTGGCTCAGGAGGTGGAGATCAACGCGGTCGAGCTGGAGCAGATCACCAAGTTGTGCGTGGAGATGGGCGCTGTTGATATCATGGAGATCTACAGCCCGAAGCGGTTCACGGCCCAAGCCGGGCAGTATGGCTTGAGGCCGGGCTTTGCGGTAGACCTTGAGGAGCAGAAACCGGACGGTTCCTACTGGGATCTCAGCAAGGCTGAGGACGTCCGAGAGCTCGAGGAGTATGTGGACGAGGTCGAGCCGGCATTGCTCACAGGGAGCCCACCTTGTGACCAATTCTCCCAGCTCCAGAACATCAACAAGTACAGGGTGAGCCCAGACAAGAGGCGCGAGAAGATGGATAGAGCAGTTGCTCATTTGCATACCGCCTGTAGGTTCTACAGGAAGCAGTTGCAGGCAGGTAGGTTCTTCTTGCATGAGGCACCGTGGAGTGCTACCTCTTGGAAAGACCCGGAGGTCCGTGAGCTCACTGAGAGACCGGACGTGTACACTGTCCGAGGCCCAATGTGCAGATGGGCTATGGTCGCTACGGACCGGAGGGGTTTGCAGGGCACAGGATATGTGCGGAAAGAAACTGGCTGGATGACCAACCATCCAGGTTTGGCCCAACTGTTGGAGGGCGAATGCACCAACAATGTGCCGGGGAAACCATGGCACCGGCACATCCACCTGATCGGAGGACTCGCTAGACCGGCGGCCCGTTATCCGCCAGCGCTAGTGCGAGCGGTCCTGAAGACTTTGAAGAGCCACCTTGTAGAGAGTGGCCAGTTGAGTGCATTGGACGCAGCAGTTGCAGGTCCAATCCCAGAGGAGAGCTTCGTGACGCCGGAAGACGTGGAGCAGTACTGGGACGACGTGAATGGTGGGTTTTTGCCACCAGACCGAGTCAGGGAGGCACGTCAGCTCGAGTTGGACTATCTTAGGAAGCAAGAGGTTTACGAGAAGGTGCCGCTCGAGGAATGCCTCAGAGAGACCAACGGGAAGGGTCCAATCACCACCCGTTGGATAGACACCAACAAGGGAGACCCCGCCAATCCCAACTTCAGGTCGAGATTGGTGGTCCGGGAGATCAAGGCCCGGAAGAGTCCAGAGGAAAGGATTCCTCAGAACATGCTGTTTTCGTCAACACCGCCTTTAGAGGCTATGAGGCTGCTATGTAGCCTATGGGCCACTGAGCGTGTATCCCATGGAGGACGACCACTCAAGATCGGACTTTGGGATATATCAAGAGCCCACTTCTATGGCGTACCCAAACGCCGCATATACATCCAGTTGCCGGACGAGGACGCCAGTCCGGGAATGGTGGGTCGTTTGACTAAGTCGATGTACGGGACACAGGATGCCCCTAACATATGGCAGCAGCACTACACGCAGCTGTTGATCAAAGCCGGATATCTCCGGGGAAAGTCAAATGGCTCAGTGTTCTATCACCCGACACTGGGAATAAGAGTGCTGGTGCACGGAGATGATTTCATGGCGTTAGGAGACGCCGAGGCGCTGAAGGAAGTAGATACTTTGCTTCGCAGTGCCTACGAGTTGAAATGGCTCGGGACGATAGGTGATGAGGAAGGAGACCACAAGGAGGTCCACTTTCTCAACCGGCTCATTCGTTGTGAACAACATCAAGGAGCGAGTGCGATCCTGATCGAGCCAGATCGACGCCATGTTGATTTGCTTGTGCAGCAGCTTGGCATGGAGAATGCCAAGGGAGCGGAGACGCCGGACGTGAAGAAGTCCGTTGAATTGCAGATGCAGGAAGCCCGGAGCCCAGCTCTACCGAAAGAGCAGGCTTCCCTGTATCGCTCATGCGTGATGAGGGCAGCGTACCTGTCACAGGACAGGTTAGATATCAGCCACGCTGTGAAGAATCTTGCGAGGAAGATGGTTTCTCCTACAGAGGCATCTTTGCAGGATTTGAAGCGACTGTGTCGCTACCTCATCAAGAAGCCGGACGTGTGTCAGGTCTTTGCACGGCAAGCCAAGCCGAGCAAGCTCCGAATCCAGGTGGATTCCGATCATGCTGGAGATGCAATGACGAGGAGATCCACAACAGGCATGGTTGCTCTGTATGGATTGCATGTGCTCAAACACAGCAGCAATGTGCAGTCGACCATCGCTTTGTCGACTGGGGAGTCGGAGTACTATGCTCTTGTCAAAGGAGGTTCAGTTGGTCTAGGCCTACAGTCACTCTTAGAGGACTTTGCGGTCGAGACCCAGGTGCTGATTCAATCACTGCAGCGAAAGGAACTGTCAATCGGGCAGGTCTGGGAAAGGCCCGTCACATCCAGACGAGATTCCTGTGGTTGCAGGAAAGGGTCAGCATGGACCATCTGAGGGTGGAGCATATCCCTGGCAAGTCCAACAGGGCTGATGCTCTAACAAAGAGCATTCCAGGTGTACAGATGTCTGATACCATGCGAAGGTGTGGTTATGTTTTCCTTGACCAACGTAGCAAGGGACAGCTTAAGCTACTAGAAGGCTAAGGTCCCTGGCCAGACTCCGCTACCTATATTGCTGTGCGAGCGTGTACAGAGACGCTCTTCCAGCAAGGAGGAGTCATGATATGTATAGTCATAATTGCCCAATGCGCTGATTGCACTCCGTGTGGTTTTGGCTCAAGAAAAGGGTGCGCTCCGCAGTGCACCCCAGAGCCGAGATATTGTATTTTGATGATTCGAAGCGGTTGGACACTTTGAAACTGAGTGAAACGTTTCGCCAGCGAGCTTTTCGAGGAGTCTCCGAGTCCGGCGGAAGGCCCCAATCTGATTTTCGTCGACGCTGGCCTCCCTTTAAAAGCCCCAAAGCACCGCCCCGTGGGAAAAAACATCGTGCTGTTTGCTCATCCTTTCTGAGGTGTGGGGCGAATCACCATGGTTTTGGCCGTAAACTCAGACCTAATCCCCCAAACCACCAAAAGTAAACGTTTTGGCCGTAAACATAGGGCACTCCCAAAGCAAAAAATAAAAATAAACCACTGGATCTTCAGGCGTTTCCCAAAAATCGGGCCTCTGATTTCTACAAAAACATTTTGGGCTCGCCTGTTTGGCTTGCGAGATGAATTCCAGGCGCTCTGCGCGCGGAGGGACGTCGAGGCGAGGCGCGCTGGAGGCGGGAGATGGGTCGGGTCTTGGTGGCTCCCCACCCCAATTGCTGAAGTTAATCAGGGCTCCTTAAAAGATGCATTTTGCCCATTTGAAGCCTGGCTTTTTCCACAAAAGTAAAGGGAAACCACCATTTACAAGGCAATGTTCAGGTGTATAATGTAATGTAATGAAATGGCTGTGGGTCAAAAATAGGGTGACCCCAAAATGGCACCCTGGTAAATGGAGACAATGACAAAAACTTGTGGTCCCCTGGTGGTTTAATTTTGACCCATACCCAAATGAATTTCTTTTAATTGTCCCTTTTTGGTTGGCGGAAACTTTTTGGTTTGATATGAACTGTTCAAGTTTGTGTACATTCCTTTCTGGGCCAATACTCGCGGAAGCAAGCCTTGTAAAGGAAGAGCCGTGTAAAGCATGCCGCAGAAATCCGCAGGATTCGGATAAGCAAGGGAAGACGGATGCTCGAACAATGCAAAGGGAACAAACACCCGCGTTTTCATTGTTTCTTGGCATTGTTCATCGGCTAGGTAAGAAACTAGCTAGCAATCGAAGAAACCCTAGCAGATACCAAGCTATCTGAGCTAGCTACAGCAAACCAGCCAGCTAGCTGACCAGCTAACAGAGCTGACTACCTGACTAGCTCATGAGTTAAAAGCTAACTAGCTAGCTAACTCATTCTTCGCGGGCTGGTTACTGGTTTGCTCTCCGACCTAGCTAACGCGCCAAAACCATGACTCTCGACCTGGCTAGCCGCCAAACCAGCTCACTGGCGAATCAACTGGCTAACTAGCGATCCAATCAGCTGGCTATCAAACTAGCTAAAAGCTGTCTAACTATCTTGCCAGCAAAAGAAGTTCCAGGAAGCAAGGCCACTAGCACGGAAACTGGCTGACTCCCTAGCCCAACTTTCCTGCCCAGCTTCCGCTCCCGAACTAGTTAAACAGTTGACTCGCTTGAAGAGAAGGACCCAGAAACATACGCGCTTGCATATGCTGGCAGGTCCAGGGGGCTCCCGGGTTCCAAAGTCGAGTTTGTATCTGTTTGCGACTTCCGCCCGCTTCGCCGACCTTACGGTGCTTCTTCTTCGCTACTTGGGGTGGTTCGGAAAGAAAGGCAACTATGTGCAGGTCCCGACAGAAGGAACCTGCACAGTTGTAAAGGAAGCTTCGGTTTGACCGGTGCCCCGAAGCTCCTCAGATTTCCTGTACTTGTTTTCGTGCCCGCGGCGCAGCGGTTTCCACGGCAACGCAGGTGTCACTCAAACCTCGGCAAGCGCGGGTCAGGATGGGTATGCTCCTTCCAGAATGCGCTTGACTGTTTCTCTCACACCAATTCATGAAGCAACAAACGGGGGAAAAACACAAAACATGAAGCAACAAAACAAAAACAAACATGAAGCAACAAAAGGTAGACAGGAAAATAACGGCGGGCTGAGCGCTACTCCCCCAATCCGGGGGCTGAATCGCCAGGTCTGCCTCCGAGATGTCCCAAAGCGGGGAGCGCCCGTGGCCACGCGGCTGGCATCGGCGAATTTTGAGTCGGTGCAAGGGGTGGCCTTTCTAGCCTCCTTGCCTTTTTCTTGGGGGAGAAACAACAACCGCAAAAAAAAGGAAGAAGAGCAAGGCAGCAGGCCCCTGTTCGTTCGTTCCCGATTTTGAGGGAGATGAAGCTCCCACAGACTCACTTCCTGAGTTGGACTTTCGTCACTGGGTTTGGACCAGTTTTAGAGGTAAACCACCAGTTTGGTTCCTTTGGCCGGTGGTTTGGTGAGTCTTGGGACTGGACTGAGGGACCCGCAGAGCGCCTCCAAAGGGCTCTGGGACACTGCGGCGCAGAGCGCCGACGCGGCCGCCCGCACCGAGATCTGGGAGGAGGTGCTGAGGTGCGCGGCTGCGCGGCGCCGCGTACTCGCAGACCCAAAACCGGGAGCGAAGAATGCTTGGAATGTTTGGAGTTCCCTGTAAATACCAACAAATTACACTAGGTCCCCCAGTAGTGCCCTTTTACCGTTTCTTTTTTGGGGGAGGGTTCCCCTATATACTAAAATAGACTACAGAAAAAAAAGTACCGTTATTCTAACCTCTCTACTGGAGGACCTAGTACTGTATGGTGTCAACCATGGTTCCTGAGGTGGTGCAGGATTTCGTCCATCAGTATCAAGGTTTGAGCTGGTCTTGAATAAAAGATGCAAGCTACAGAGAAAACTGAAAAGTCAGGCTGAAGTGGAATTTAATTCGGGCGGTTTGCCGCTGCAAAATACCGTCTTGAAATCCCGTCCCCTCTTGTAGACACTTCGAGTCAGTCTATTTTGCTTGGCCACCTTGAATAGGATTCAGGGACCATGAGTCCATTTGCCTTCTCAAAAGGATCAAAGTATGCAATTGTTCCTGGCCATGTCAAGGGTGTTCTGCCAAAATAGTGACATGCGTCGGAAAGATTGACTCCACCGTGGGTTCCCTTCCAACATCCAAACGAGGGCCCTTTGTAGGACTCGCCCATAGGGAACGCAAAAGCCCCGCGAAGAGATTTGCCTGAGACGTCATGAAGTCTCCTTTCCAAAATCAACCAAAACGTACCATACCACATATATCAGTTTTACCTTTGGTCCTGAACCACCCCAAAAGGGTACATGCCCTCAAAAAAGACACACACACACACACATGTGGTGTTTGCAATCGTATCATAATCCCAGGCACGCCCCCCAAGGCACACCCCCAAGGCACACCCCCAAGCACCCCGGGCGTCCCGAGGCACCCCGCCAAGTTGGGTTTTTCCAGTTGACAGTCTTCGCGTTTGGCACGCGGTGCATATTTCAGGCCCTGCCAGCGGCTCTTGCAAGCGCCAGTGACGGAGCGGATCGAGGTCCTGCGGGAGATAATGCAGGCGACTGGGGCAAAACACATCTGGGGCAAACCAAAGCAAAGACGCCCGAAAACGGCCGGGGGTGGGGGGTCCCTTCATTTGGCGACACCCAGTTTAGGCATGCTCCGGAGAATAAAAAGGGGGGTTGCTTCATTTTGTGACACCGATTTTAGGCATGGAGGGGCAAGTTTGGAGTCCAGGTGTTAAATAGCTCATAGTCTCATAATATGTGTTTCAAGTTGTCCCAAGCAGACAGTCGTTGGTGCAACCCTGTGCACCGGTGATGCTTCTTTGCAGGCGGAGATTACTCGACTTCAGCTTACCTTGACCGTAGCCTCCAGCGACTCTGACTCCAGCGATTGAGAGACTTCCGTTCGGGGTCTGAAAAGGCGCGTGACGCGAGGAGTTCTCGGCGAGGTTTGGGGCTCCGGGCTGGAAAGGTACGCTGAAGCCCCAAAAGCAGTCACAGAAGTCGTCAACTGAGGTAGGGCGGAACCAATTGTCTGCTGTTCAGGCAACGACGCGCGATGAAGAGGTTCAGTAGGTTCTGTCCAGAGACAAGATTCTCAGTCTGAACGTGGGGTGACCTCTACTGAACCAGAGACTGGGACCCTTTCTAAATGACCAGCCTACTGTGGATGGACGAAATCCATTTCGCACCACCGAAGAAACCCTGGAATGATTCGATTCCTCTGTAAATACCAACAAATAATGGTTTGGTGTGGTTCAACTTGGTGCAGGATTTCTTGCATCCACAGTAGGTTTCAGGCTCTCTGTGGTTTGCTGCGCCGCAGCCGTTTTTGCCGACAGCCCTGGGCGCTTTTGCTCTCCAGCGTCGAGTCTGCCGCGCGCGGCTCCCTCGCCACCACCTGAGCTATCGTTTCATATAGCTGTGGGTCAAAACCAATGGTACCATGTTGGGGTGGGTGCACCACCCATGTTAGTCTATTTTAGTTGGGATTGGGATGTTCACTGGGGGTACGGGATTTTGAATCATGGCCGTATGTTGGCTGGAATCGGATAGGCAACTGAGCAGGCTTCCATGTGCTTAAGGATATGGGTATGGGTCAAAATTAAACCGCCAGGGACCTCCATGTTTCCATTTACCAGGGCAACCCATTTTGGGTATCTATTTTGGACCCAGAGCCATATGGTGGTGTTTCTTTGATTCCCTTAAGACAACCCAAGCCAGGAGAGAATTGCAAAAAGAGGCGCGCCCATGTGTGATGTGTTTGATGTTTCCCTCTTTTTGTGGGGCCTGATTCAGACTTGATCCACGAATACGCTCAGTTTCCAGGCCGGTTCGAACATCGAGCACACGTTTGGTTGCAGGTGCCAAGCGATGGAGGCAGTGGTACTGAGTTGGATGGAGTGTCGACCTTGAAGAACCAACCCAGGATTTATCCCTTGGTTTGGGCGAGGTGTTGGTTAGCTCGCCTTGCGGGAAACGGTTGGAAGGGGGAATTCCCCCACGCCTTCTCCAGGCTAAGTATCATGCCATGTCTTTGGTGCTTATGGATCCGGGAAGGCCACAGAGTAGCAAAAATCCTTGGTTGATGAGCTGGTTTGGTTCAAAAGAAAGGCAAAGGGGTTGGTTGTCTCCCGGATGCCCAGGGCCAGCAATGTTTGCACGAGGACTTCAGTGAAAAGCTATTGGGTGTGTTTTTTTTAACGGACGCCCCAAATTGGTGGTTGTCTTTTTGGTGTCCATTTAAAGCCAACCAAAAAGGGCTTCCCAAAAAGAAAGACAGACCCTATCTACTTTTCTCAGTGATTTCCCATGCAGAATACTATTTCCAAGTTCTGCTCGTCAACCTCCTGTACATTGGAGTTAGGTGTTTTGAAGCGAGGCCCTCACAAGGTTCTGAGTTTTGGCAAACCCCGGGATGCTCATGAACAATATATTATTGAAGTTGTCCGAAAGACCCTTGTATTGCCGGAGGAGAAGAGAAGTACTCTATGCTCTGCCAGCGCGCAACACCCCGCAAGTCGTATCTCGCTTTGTTGCCAAAGTATTCATTGGTGCATTTTGCTTGGATGTTAGGACTTAAACTTTTTGCCAACTAATGGGTTTTCCATTAAACCACTAGAAGTTCTAGAAGTTTAACTTTTAGCAGGGGAGCAGATTTCGCAACCTAGTATTCATTGAAGCCTTGTGATTTGTCCGATGGTCGCGTTGAGAGAGACCTATGAAAGGACCTATGGTCGCTTTGGTTGAGAGGCATTCTGGGAGCTTCTGTTTTTTAGGCCGCTTTCCTTGATCAAAAAGAAATCAAAAGGCCCGGGAAACTTGGGATGACCATTGAGGAACACCACTAAAAAGAGGATGTTTCGCACAACATGGGGAAATATGCCCATGGTGAATCGGGGGCCAGGAATATTGATCAACCCCCGTTTCAACTGGCAAAGTAATGTAAAGTAGCTGTAGGGATGGGGTTCCTCCCACTTTGGCACAGCAAGGATAGCTTGCAGACAACATGCTGGAAGAGACGTGCTAGTTTAGCCCTTCACAACACGTGAGAGAGGACTACCAGTTTCCCAGATTCCCTCCATGAGCTTGCATCATAAGAGCTGCGCCATCCAAACGCTGAGCACAAATCGTGAATGCAAAAACAGTCAGCTGGATCTGTTTCCGGGGAACGAGGCGGTGCATTCAGATACCAGGGCTGACAAAAAAAAGAAAGAACCTAGGAGGACTTCTTTTCACCAGCTGCTTGGCTGTAAATTCCACCAGGGCTGAACCAAACTTCCCCAAAGGTTGGGTTCCCTTGGGCGTGGGTCTGGCAATGTCCAGGACTGGACCGGACATGTCTCCAGGTTTCAGGGTACAGGGCTTCGGAGCTTCTTTTTTTTCCGAGCCCTTGCCGATCCCAGAGTGGTTTTCGATGCATCGGGCAGTTTCAAGGGGCTTCAAGCACTGGTATGGGTGTGGCTCAAAATGAAGGAGCCATGTCTATGTTACGCAGGTTTTAGTGTTCATTTTCATTTGCCAAGGTGCCATTTTGGTACGTGTTGTTGAGCCACAGCCCACATGGGCAACTTGCTTGAGGGGAAATCCAGTGTACATACACGTATAAAATATCTAAAAAAGCTTGTACATACACGCATGTTTGTCTAAATTTAGAATATCGAGGAACTTCCCTTACAAACATGGCCCAGGCCTTTTTGAGGCCTTAAAACAGGGCCTTCGACATGAGATCCGGCGCCAGCTGCAGCTGCTGGCGGCCTTGGCGGCCTTCGAGTCGTGTCTTCTGGCGCCCGGAGTCCCGGAAGTCTTCTCGGGGCGAGCGGAGACGGGCTCGGCTTTTTGCAGGGAAACCAACTGGCAGGAATACGGGGGGGAACCAGTTGGATACGGGAGGATTCCCCCGTTTGATGCAACTTGACTAAGTTTGATATGGGAAATGGCGCCAAGAGAATCCCCCCATATCCCCGCTCCCTTCGTATCCCCGCTTGTTCGTTTGTCCAAGTTTTCTTGGTGCGAAATCAGAAAGGGGAAGGAGAAATGGAATGAACCCTTTTCGGCGTTGGTCCCCGACGAAAGGACACCACAAAGGTTGGAGGTGTCTTTGTTTCAGGGGGTGATTCCAATTCGCATTCCCTGCCTATCGCACCAGCAAGTCTTGTGCGGTGCTCGAAAAACCTACTGGTTCTGAGCCGGGCATGAGAATTGGAATGACGACCCCGGGAAAAAGAAATGAAAAAACCAAAAAAATAGACGCCATGGACTCCCGAATGGTTCATTCCCAAAACTCTGGGTCATTCCGTACTAAGCACCAGCAAGAAAGGGCAAGGGGACAAGGACATGTCTACAGTTCAGAGATTCTCCTTGGGGAGAATCTGTGATGAAAGGCATTGGAAGGACTCAAGTTGTTCTTCGGTTCTTTCCGCAGGGTCAATGAAGGCCAATGCGTGAGGAATCAACCAGAACCATGTGAGCCACGTCCTCAAAACCCGGGTAGGCAATCAAAACCCGGGTAGATGAAGGTTAGTAAGGGAAAGTCCCAACCATAAATGTCTGCAGCCGCCTCTTCAATTCTTTACATGGATGATTTGAATCCCAGGTTTTGATTATGACTCATGTCACCTCCCAGTCCACAAGTCGAAACAGGACCAGTTTGAATCAGCCCCAATGAAGCAGGGCCACTGACACTGCAGGCAACTCCCGGATTTTCTGCTTTCAATGCATGTGACAACCATGCCTCGTCTTGGGCGCGCAAAACACCAAAATGCTCTCCTACTCGTAAGTTGCTTGAGATGACCATGTTACTCGGAGTCTCTATTTGCGTGGCCAACTTCTTTAGGATATTGATGGATATTGGGTGTGGCTCGCAACTACTTTCAGTGCTGCAAAATGCATTTGTTCAGATGTTAGGTGTGGTTTGACACCCTACCCCCCGGCCCGTCCCAACTTTGGTTTTCCTCGCACTAGGCATGTGGCTTGCCCGCAGCAAATCAGTGTTTGACCTGGACAAAGCCTTAAATGTTCACAACTAAGTTTCAACTCCCGCTTTTTGCGCGCCAAGCTTGGGTTTTGCTCCCTCTACCGTTTCGAGCTTCACTCGCCCTGTGATCGACCTGAGGTTCCTGGAGAAGAGCCCCCAGTGCTTGTCCAATTTTCAGGCTAGAAAGATTTGCCATGCAGGCGGGGAGGGAGGGAGGGAAGGGAGGGAAGTGGAAGGCTCCATGGCGCCACGGAGGTTCGCCATCGATTTCGCCAAAGGCTCCCAGTGATGCAATTCACCCCAAAAGGTGGGAAGGAAACGGCTCGAGGTGGTGTGGAATTTGTCGCAGTGCTTTGTGCATGTCAGGCAAAAGGGACCTGCACGACGGGGGGATAGAGGAGGCTTCGCATTTGGGTGTTTCCCAAATTTAATAAGTCCCCTGCCAAGCCGGGTAGTAACTCCCAGAAAGGTAAGTAGTCCCCTTATTGGCTCAGTTGTTCAGTGGCACCTTTTTCCTTTTTTTTGTGGCCTAAAAATGGTCTTCCCCGAAAAGGGTTCCCTTTTTTTCCCAGGGTCACTGAACAACTGAGTTGGAGAAGGCGCCGGCACGGGGTTCGCCAGGTACAGGCCTGATGCTGCTTCAGCTGGATTCTAGAGAAGTGCCCGAAGCCTCAGCGGCGACAGTCGGACCGGTTAAAGGAATGGCCATGTTTCCATCAGGGCAGCCCATTTGGGGTACCCTTCCTACCACTAACACAGCACTTGCGGGAGGATACCTGGAAGATGAATTTTCTCTTTAAGGGACTGTTTGTCAGGTGCCATGTTGGGAGGGAGGGTACCTATTTTGACCCACATGCTTTGCTAAGGCGATGACATGGGCCACACTCACCAAGCAACTAAGGCAAATCGCTTTCGAAACCCAGAGGGTCCAAGAATTTT